GGAATGGAGATTTTACAGTATCCTTTCCCTGGAGTGGAGTGGGAATGGAGATTTTACAATATCCTTTCCCTGGAGTGGGGTGGGAATGGAGATTTTACAGTATCCTTTCCCTGGAGTGGAGTGGGAATGGAGATTTTACAATATCCTTTCCCTGGAGTGAAGTGGGAATGGAGATTTTACAGTATCCTTTCCCTGGAGTGGGGTGGGAATGGAGATTTTACAGTATCCTTTCCCTGGAGTGGGGTGGGAATGGAGAATTTACAGTACCCTTGCCCTGGAGTGGGGTGGGAATGGAGAATTTACAGTATCCTTTCCCTGGAGTGGGGTGGGAATGGAGATTTTACAGTATCCTTTCCCTGGAGTGGGGTGGGAATGGAGAATTTACAGTACCCTTGCCCTGGAGTGGGGTGGGAATGGAGAATTTACAGTATCCTTTCCCTGGAGTGGGGAGGGAATGGAGATTTTACGGTATCCTTTCCCTGGAGTGGGGTGGGAATGAAGATTTTACAGTATCCTTGCCCTGAAGTGGGGTGGGAATGGAGATTTTACAGTATCCCCTGCCACGCCCACCAAGCCATGCCACACCCACCAAGCCATGCTCACAGTACTGGTAGTAAAAGAAATAGAATCCCACCACTGCTGGAGATTACAACAGGCATAACCTGAAGGTAACACTTTCTAAAAGAATGGTAGGGACTTCCTAGGGAAGCTATGGAATTGAATTCCAGGCGAGAGGGGTGGCTTTTTTCTTTATCTGGCTGGTTTCCGACAGCATGAGGTTTATATAAAGTTCTCTTTTGTAATGGTCTAGGAGCTGATCGTTTTTATGACAATATTGAAGATATGATTGGCTACAGACCCTGGCCCCTGATTAAATATTGCTGGCTCTTCCTCACACCTGGTCTTTGTCTGGTAAGTACCTTGACTGTGTCTTTTACACATATGTGGCAAGGATGGCAATGTTCATAGAAAAAAAATCCTTCTTTAATTTCCCTTGCCTGACATTACAGAAATGTTACTATTAATTGTTGTATAATTCTTTCTATTGGCATTGTTCGCTGTAGTAATTCCTGTTAGCTATTTTTAATTTAGTTTCAATATTTTTACATTGTCATGAGCTATTCAAGTGGCTTACAGTGAGAAGCCAAAGGTAGGAATCTACAGAAAGAGAGAGATGGAGGTCCAGATATACCTTCCAAATACATCAAAAGGGTCCTTGGTGCTCTCTGAACTTGGTGGTTTGCTTGCCAACATTTCATTACCAAACTAGGTGACATCATCAGTTTGGTAATGAAATGTCTGCAAGAAAATCACCAAGCTCAGAGAGCACCCAGGAGCCCACAGTTAAACCTGAGCTACAATTATACTCTTCTATTGGTACTTGGGACGTGGTGGCTCAGTGGCTAAGACACTGAGCTTGTCAATCAGAAAGGTCAGCAGTTTGGTGGTTTGAATCCCTAATGCTGAGTAACGGAGTGAGCTCCCGTTACTTGTCCCAAACTATTTGCTAGTTTTTTGGCCTTGGGAGCCGTTTTCAGCCCGTTTTCCAGTCCGTTTTTGGCCATTTTGGGGGCATTTTCAGGCTGTTTGGGGGGCTGTTTTTGGCCTCAATAATGGGCTGAAAACGCCCAAAAATCTGCCTAAAAAGGCCCAGAAAATTGTCTCCTTTTGGCCAATTTTCGGGCCGTTTTCCAGTGCTCTGGTGCCCTCAAAGAGCAGCTGGCGATGGCATGCATGCCCACAGAGAGGGCTCTGCATGCCACCTCTGGCACACGCGCCATAGCTTCACCATCATGGCCCTAAACCATTGCCCAGGCATAAAGCCCAATATCTCTGTTAAACTGTTTGCCTATTAAATAGGTTGAATATTTTAGCAGTCTTTTTAGCGCATAAAGTCCTTTCTTGGCAGGCCTCCAGTTTCAACACTGGAAACTTACAAGCTCATATCCCATCTAAACAATGGAAAAACAGTTGAGGAGATCTGATTCTTGCAGAACTTAGAAAAGCTAATGCAGAATGGTGATCCTCTGTTGGCCTCACTCTTCACACATACTGAGTGCTGTTTCAGATGCCTAAACGCTGGTATTATTTGCAGTCCCAATCATTAAGAAAGGCAATAACGTCTAATCCTGCTAAGTTCCATCTGATCAATCTCTGAAATGTTTTAATAAACCAGGTGCCAAAGGTCCATGTGAAAAACTCAGTGATTGTTTAGAAAAAGAGCAGGTTTCGACAGACTAAGAAATATGTTTCAAGAGAGAACAAGCAGCAATTGAATACTTATTATTGTAAACCATCTAACAGAAAAATATTACTCTTGATCTCGAGGCTTCCTTGTTGCTACTTTTGTAGATTTGGAAGTTTGATCTCTAGGGGAGGATTGTGGTAGAAATTATTAAAGACATCTATGGATTTCTGTCTTACTAGATTAATTATGATGCCCTACAAGATATTTATATGTCGATTGTACAGTAAGCAGAGCTGTTTCAGTCCCAATTCTCACTATAAGAGGAAGAGCTGTGGTGGTGCAGAGATTAGAATACAGTAGAAATAGCGCAGTGGTGGGTTTCAATTTATTTTATTACCAGTTCGCTTGTGTGTGTGCGCTCGTGCGTCGCTTCTGTGCATGCGCAGAAGTGTCTGAGTGGGCTGGCAGAGCCTCCTGCCGCCGCCACTACCGGTTCACCCGATCCGGGGCAAACCAGCAGAAATCCACCTCTGCAATAGCACCAGAAATAGCACTTAGACTTATATACCGCTTCACAGTGTTTTACGGCCCTCTCTAAGCAGTTTACAGAGTCAGCTTATTGTCCCACAACAATCTGGGTCCTGATTTTATCCACCTAGGAAGGATGGAAGGCTGAGTCAATCTTGAGCCTGGTGAGATTTGAACTGCCAAATTGCAGACAGCTGGCAGTCGGCAGAAGTAGCCCGCAGTGCTGCACTCTAAACACTGCGCCACCGTGGCAGTACTGCAAGCTATTCTGCAGATTGCCGGCTGCTTGCAACTTGGCAGTTCAAATCTCACCAGTCTCAAGGTTGACTCAGCCTTCTGTCCTTCTGAGGTCGGTGAAATGAAGACCCAAATTGTTGGGGGCAATAGGCGGACTCTATAAACTGCTTAGAGAGGGCTGGAAAGCACTGTGAAGCGGTATATAAGTCTAAGTGCATTTGCTAATTAAACAAGGTTGTATTCTGGTTCCCTTTATAGCTAATCTTTATTTAACCCACTCCTAAACAAAACTGAATTTCATCCCTTAGTGCAGGGCTGTCAAACTCCTGTCCCGCAAGCTGGATGCATCACATGACAAGCATGCCCAGGTTTAACAAAGGGGGGGGGAATAAAAGTCCCAATACATCATATGACACTGCTGTGATGGTGTGAGTTTGACATCCCTGCCCTAATGCTAGCAAAAGTGTTTTTGTACACACAGATGATGTGATCAACTTCTTGAAGACCTTCAAGTTGATATTCATCAGAGTTTACAAGCTTCAAAGGCTTATCGTGGGGAACAAAAATTAGGAATTAATTGTAGCAAATTAAAAGTGATTATATCCACAAAGCAATGAATTGAAGTCATCCATGAATGGGAAACTGCTGGCAATTTGAGGAAATTAAGATCTTTAAACATCTTAAACATGTAATGCCTTAGGAATTGTGTTTCAATCTTCTAATACCTGGAAAGGGTAAGGAAAAAAAAATTCATCTCATGCAGGGAAAAAAAAATTCTGATGTAATAATTAGATTTGCCCAGCCAGCAAGGGAAATAATTATGTTTCCACTGCAATCTCACTTTATACTGTAGAGCAAAAATGCTGAGCTAATACTCGATGGCATGGAAATTGTGCCTATAAAGATATCAAAAAATTGGAGGTAATTCAATCCAGGTCCTTAAGAGCGGTGCACCGTGTCCCTCACTGCATTTCAATCACCAGCTTGAAGCTGGACCTAGGTTGTGTATCAAATAGCCCTGCACCAGGATTTTCCAGTTGATATATTTTTTTAAATTAATTGGGGGGGGAGCTGCCTATTGCATCGAGTTATTCCTTGTCAACAAGTATGATTCCTCACGGACATACACCGCAGCTTCAAACTACTATACCTATTGTGGATTCTTAGGTCAGTCTGAGAGAGCCTTACAAGCGATCTAGATTTACAGAAGGAACACGGGAGCGGAATTATTTTACCCCTTCCAACATTGACCTTTGTAACCTGCATCTGTTCTTAAGTATTTATACAAGAGTCTCCCTCTCCTTCACAATACAGCCTTAATTCTTGCCAGGCTTAATGGCAGCCCATCACGGGTTTGAAGGGAAAATACAGCAACCTTCCTTTCCTCGGTCAAATCTGTCCTTGTATGGAAAAGGTTGTGGAGTCAAAATAAACATGTTCTGCTGAGCTTTCCAAGAAATCATACATGGCACTGGATTGATACACCATATTTTTCAGAGTATAAGATGCACCTTCCCCCCCCCGCCCCTTAAAGAGTATGGTGTGTCTTATAGACCAAATACAGCCATTTTTGGCCTCTCAAAGCCCCACCCCCGCATCCCATTTTTGTGAAAAATGGGTGAAAAATGGACCATTTTTCACCAAAACAGGGATGTTTTTGCCTTCCCCCACCCCCTAGAAGCATTCTGCAGGCTTCAGCAGGGCTGGGGAAGAGAAAAATGCCCTCATTTCAATGAAAAATGGGGGTGTTTTTGCCTTCCCCCAGGACTGCTGAAGCCTGCAGAGTGCTCTTGGGGGCCGGGGAGGACAAAAATGTTTTTTTTTTCTTACTTATCGCTTCGAAATCTTGGTGTGTTTTATACACCGGTGCGTCTTACAGGCCAAAAATACAGTAACCATTCCAGCTGTACCATGGAAGAGTCCTTGACTTAGAGCCATTCCCTTAGGGCAGGAATGGGTTCCGGCTTCTTCTACTGGCGGTTCGCTCAGGGACGTGCTTCGGGTGCACACACACGGGCTTGATGTGTGCTATGCATGCATGCACAGTAGGTAAAAACAGATGGTGCCGACAATGACGCTGATGATAGAACTGGTTCAGGAGTGTGGCCAGCTGTGTTACTACCTACTTGGCTGAACCAGTCCGAACCAAGTCAAGTCAAGTAGGTTTTATTGTCATTTCAACAATATACAGTACAATACACAGTGAAACAAAAGAACATTTCCCCAGGACCAAGGTGCTACATCAGACGGCATAGATAAAAAGAAAAAGAGCAGGACACAGAACTACATATAGCTCTAAATCTAAGAACTTAGAGAGTGTTAAGGAGCCTGATGGCTTGTGGAAAGAAACTGTTACACAGTCTGTTTGTGCAAGCCCGAATGCTTCTGTACCTTTTTCCGGATGGCAGGAGAGTAAAGAATGTGCATGAGGGGTGTGTGTGGTCAGCCACAATGTTTCTGGCTTTACGAATGCAGTGTGTAGTATATATGTCCATAACAGAGGGAAGAACAATCCCAATGATCTTCTCTGTCGTCTTCACTATTCGCTGTAGGGTCTTGTGATCCAAAACGGTGCAATTCTCAAACTAGGTGGTGATGCAGCTGCTCAGGGTGCTCTCGATGGTCCCTCTGTAGAAGGTTGTAAGGATGTGTGGTGGAAGCTGTGCCTTCCTCAGTTTCCTAAGAAAGTAAAGACGCTGCTGCTGAGCTTTCCTTGTTATGGAACCAGTGTTGAGGGACCAGGTGAAATTATCCACCAGATGAACACCAAGGAATTTGGTGCTCTCTACGATCTCCACAGAGGAGTCCTTGATCTTCAGCGGGGAACGGTCATGTTGAACCAGTAGGAACCCACCTCTGCCTTAGTGACCACTTATAGCAGCACTGAAAAAAGTGATACATGGCCATTTTTCACACTTACAACCATTGCAGCATCAAAATTCAGATGCTTGATAGCTGACTCATGACTGTGGCTGTGTCCCAAGGACATGTGATCATATTTTGTGACCATCTGACAGATAAAGTCAATGAAGGCAGGGGGGGGGGCTTGGTGCTCTCCCAGCTTGCTTGATTTCTTACAGATGTTTCATTACACAAACCTGGTAATATCATCAGTGCTAGTCAACAAGGAAGCCAGATTCACTTAATAACCATGTTACTAACTTAACAACTGCAGCAGAGGTGGTATTCTACCAGTTCAGACCGGTTCACCCGAACCAGTAACAGAAGTCGCTGGTGACCCCGCCCACCCACCCCGGCTCTATGGCATCCCATTTAGGTCCTTTTTTAGCTAAAAGCGCATGCACGGAAGGCTGAGCACATACGCAGAGGAGGCTGACCGCATGCACCCACTCACAATTGCGAATGGAAATAGGGAAGGTAAGTGAACGCCACTCCTGAACTGCAGTGATGCAGTTAACAACTTTGACAAGAAAGGTCGTAACACGGGGCAAAAGTCGCTTAGCAAATGTTTCACTTAACAACAGAAATTTGTTGTTAATTTCGGTTGTGGTCAAGGATTTCCTATACTCCGGGGCAGAAAGCAAAAATAAAAATAAAACTGGAAAGCTAAAACACCCAAGTCTGAGCTGAAGCCAGCAGTCACTGAGCAGATCCTAACTACCATCTCGGTTTTTGCTGACGCGATCGGAGTTCACTATAGATTCAGTTTGCTCAGGGCTGAAAAGGGCCACGCTGAAAGACCTTGATTAAATGTATTTTTATTCTCTTTAATTATCTCTTACAGATGTTTCTAATTTGCTACTGCATAGCTGACGTGCTGTCTGTTCTTGTCATCCTCAGGCTACCTTCCTGTTTTCACTCATTAAATATGAACCCCTCAAATACAACAACGTTTATGAATATCCTCCGTGGGGGATAGCAGTCGGTTGGGTGTTGGCCTTGTCCTCTATGATCTGCGTACCGTCCTACATTATATTCAGCTTCCTGAAAACCAAAGGATCTTTCAAAGAGGTAATGGGAATGGAACTTCTCTGAGGTCGCAGAACCTTGTTTGGTTATTTTACATGATCGTTCATGAGAGACAGAACTGACAGGTTCTTTCAGACCATTTGTATTACTGAAAAAGATTCATTCTGTATCCTAGGACAGTCATTTCCCCATGATAACATAAGCCCTAAAGTAGGGGTGTCAAACTCAATTTCATTGAGGGCTGTATCGGGGCTATGGTTGACCTTGAGGGAGCTAGGCGGGCATGCCTGACTGGGTGGGTGTGGCCAGCTTGATACCACTCACTGGGTGTGACCAGATGGGTATGGCCAGCTGGATCGGCATGGTCAGCTTGACACCATTCCCCAAATTATTGGCATGTTTTCTCTTTGTATTGGGTAGATTGAGACGAAGCCACTCTGGCCCAATGTTTCCTCTTCACATTGGGTAGACCAGGCCGAAGTGATGCAGGCAGACTAGGCTGAAATGACACGGGCCGGCCCCTTACATTTTCCAGGATGACCCCATGGGCCAGATCCAATCATATTGCAGGCTGGATCCAACCCACAGGCCTTGAGTTTGACACTCCTGCCATAAAGTAAAGCCACACCATGAAAGCTGGGTTGGTGCTTCTTTATAATGGAAGAAAGTCAGATGCCTTCTCATACATGAAAAAACTAACTAACAAAAGCAAATTTGGCTATTGATCATTGGAGAAGACTAAACCCTTAGTGCTTCAAAGGCTTCTTCATAAAGGCTGTTTGTGTATTTTAAATACAGGGCGGGGCATAACCTTTTCCTAGGGGGTCACAGCAACACTTGTAATAACAACACAAATAATTCATACACCATTCGAAAGCCCATCAAAAACTGAGTTTATTGACACGATTTAATAGTCAGTATGACCACCATTAGCCCTTCGAACAGCATTCAAACGAGGTGGATAAGAACACAACAAATCTTCAAACAGTTCCGTTCGATTTTCCAGATTTTCCAGAGGGCGGGGCATAACCTTTTCCTAGGGGGTCACAGCAAGATCGACAGCAGTTTACAACTTCCGCGACACCTCATTTTAAAGCCCATAAAAAACTGAATTGAATGAGCTATTAAATGTTAAATTTGTTTCGGTTGAAACTTTGAGAATGAATTTGGAAACTGTGTTGAAAAATCTGGAAAATCGAACGGAACTGTTTGAAGATTTGTTGTGTTCTTATCCACCTCGTTTGAATGCTGTTCGAAGGGCTAATGGTGGTCATACTGACTATTAAATCGTGTCAATAAACTCAGTTTTTGATGGGCTTTCGAATGGTGTATGAATTATTTGTGTTGTTATTACAAGTGTTGCTGTGAACCCCTAGGAAAAGGTTATGCCCCGCCCTGTATATCTAGTTTGTCTGCCTCTTGTTCTGAATCATCACTGCCGTTGGACCAGTGGCAGGTTTCAAAAATTTTTGGAACCTCTTCTGTAGGTGTGGCCTGCTTTCCGGGTCCACTGGTGGAACCTCTTCTAACAGGTATGGTAGATTTGACGAACCGGTTCTACCGAACCAGTGCGAACCAGTAGGAACCCACCTCTGCGTTGGACTGATCAAATCAAGTGGAAAATATGTGCAAATAATGAAAGACAGGAAGGAGCTTAATCCCCAAACCCTTAAGAAATGTCTCACACCTCAATCTTTTTTCAAACTGACAAAGTGCACTTTTTAAATTTCTTCTAGCTATGCTTCTAACTTTGTCTTCTAACTTTGAAACTGTGCAAATGATAACAAATCAGAACCAGTCACTACCAACCATAGATTGTTATGTTGTCTAATTGACACACATAGTTATAATTGTTGCTCTACCTCAGAATACTGAGGCATTAGCAAATGGGGGCCAAACTAAGAATGCCTGTAAAATTCAAAACTTACTTCACGTTGTGACCATGGTTAATACAGTATGTTGCAATAACTAAAGGTAACCATTGGTTGAATTCACAAATTACACTGATTCATTATGTGAATTGTTTGGTTTTAGCATTATAAATAATGGATTCGTGACAGTTTAATTTTACATGTTCAACTACTATGACTTATCGAACCACTGAAAAAGTCCTGGATTTGTGTTTCCACAAACCATGATTAAAATAAACCACGGCAGAAGCCAATGTGTAAACCCAGCCATTTCTGCTCATTGATAGAGGATTATAGGAGATTATAGGATGACAATAGAGGAGAACAATAGAACTCAATGCTTTCAAGAAAACGAACATTTAACTTCATGGAATAATTTGAACTATATTTCAGTTCAAAATGCTGGGAAACCCCACACAAGTTCTGAAATAAACTTTGCAGCAATGCCATCCCCAAGACTTTAGAAAGGTGATGCCATGTCCCCAAAACTTTATTTACTGATTAATGATATTGATGTAATAACAAATGACATTAGATGTCAGCCCTGGTTTAATAGCCATCTCAGCTGGATAACATGAGATAAAGACCCAGAGAGCAAAAGAAAGGAAGTGAAGCTTGAAGCAAAATATGGTAAGGTCAAAAGCAGCCAAGACTAACAATTGTTGAAGAGAATGGTATTTGCAGAGGTGGCTAAATGGATTTTCTTGATTAGAGAAAAGACAATATCTGCATATACTGCTGACTGGAAACCTCTTGCAGGATTTCCTCTTATAATATAGACTTTTTATTTTTTTAATTTTAATTTTATTTTTTATTATAAAGACTAATACACATTGACAAAAACGTACACAACACTTACAAATAACATCGGAACTTCATGTTCCTTCTTACAGCAGATTTCTATCGGTGCATCTTTACAAACACTATTTCCCTCTCAATACATCTCTATGTCGTTTTACACTTATAATCCTATTATTTCTTACTCTTTTGCTTATCAATCCATGTTTGGTTATTTGTATCAGATCGTCTTTATTGTTCTTCTTCTAATATATAACTATTCCTACTTTTGTAAATCCTACTTCCCTACATTCTTATCACTAATTCCTACTTCTTCTATAATACAAACTACATTTTCCAAATTCTTATTTCCTATTTCTATCATCTAACAACTTAACCATTTTCCCCAAATTAAATAGTACCCTGTTTCCTCCTTTCCTTGAATTTCTTTGGTTGATTTATGCATCTCTGTGCATTCTAAGATCTTCCGTATAGTATAGACTTTTTGCAACAAACAGAACCAGTTGATCTTATGATTTGGGATATTGAGGAAAAACCGTAGCTAGATTATAGATTGTAGGAAAAAGAGTAGGGTTTCTTTTGTAACCATAAAGTAAGAGGTAATTTTGTATTTGTAGTTACAACCATTGCAAAGGAAATCAGAAATGACCTTTTTCTATTTCTTTTCATTCTGTTGGAAAAATATCCCTCTGGGTTCAGTTCCAAGTGGGGAGAAAGACACCGGAAACATGGCGGCTGTTTGGAAAGATGGTTTTAATGGTGGACAGGATTCACATGCCTTGAAGATACTGAGAGTGCCTATGTTTTATACCCTCTCTGGGCTTTTGAATTTGAGTATTCTGATTGGTTGTCAGACTCCCATGGGGCCTCGAAGGGGTAACTCTATAGGCTGTCCTGAGTCCCAAGCTTGGTTGACTCTTGCTGGGTGATTATGTAATGAAAGGGCTTTGGGATTCTTATTATGGTTCTGCCTGAAGGAGGCAGATCTTTATTATGTAGAATAGACTGGCCCAAGCCTTAATGGCCCATTGATAAAGGGGGGGGGGGGTCTGAGCTTCTACCTCCCTTTTAGGGGAAATATTCTGCCCTTTTAATATTTCCTAAAATGTCTCATTTTTTGTAGAAGGATGGGTATTAACTTCCTACAGTTCTTTCTTTTTATACTTTTGGCTTCTTTCCTATTTTTTTTTCTTTTTTTTCTTACTTTGCCTTAGTTCTTGCTAGTTTTTAATCTTTTTATGTTTTAATTAAAATATTAAAAACGCAATAATGATAAGCAGACTGCAAATGCCATCTTCACAAAGAAGCTGAAGAAATAGTGGAACACCTAGTTAGCGGCTGCAAGATTGCACAAACTGAAATCCCAATGAAATTCCGTGGGATTTATGCTGAATATGTGCATGAGTCCATCTTAAACCAAGAATTAAGTTTCTTTGAGTTTGAAAGTTCCACCTGACATTTTGTCAGGAACTGAAGGTCAACCAGAATATATGCAGACATAATTCATGTGTTTGTAGATTAGAAATTTGTTCTGAAGTGACAGCTCACATATCACTTATGGATATTTAAAACAATCTTCTTTTCAACAGTTTGATTTATATAAGGCTACCTGGGTTGTTGCTTTTATTGTTAAACTAGCATTGCCCAGGTATTTATTTATAGTGGGGGTGGGGGAATGTCCGGACCAAATGTAATTTCTAATGTTGGATTTTCTCCTTACCAGAGGGAGCCCCCTTGTGGAATACTGTGAAGCTATTACTATGGCAACTCCACTGCACTGTACAGTAGAATCCATTTTATGGCAGTACAGTAGAAGCCATTTTAAGGCACAACAGGCTGTATCTTAACAGAACACACACTCTGTTTTTAGGTTTTAGGGGTTTCTTACCCCCACAGTATTTGTTTCCAGAGAGTAAGTCATCTGTGTACCAAGTTTAATTGAAATTGCTCAAGGTGTTCCAGAGTTAGGCTGGACCATACACACAGACAGCCATATATATAGATCCAACCTTGATAGCTTTAAGATATGTGGACTTGAACTCTCAGAATTCTGCAGCCAGTCTTACTGGCTGGGAATTCTGTGACTTAAAGTCTACAAGTTTTAAAGTTGCTAAGGGTGGATACCCTGCTCTAAAGTCCATTAGTTCTCACTTCAGTCTACTTATTTAACACAAATAATTTGTGTGCCTGTGTGTGTATGCCAAAGTTACTCCTGATGTATTTCTTGCATTATGAACCTTAGTTTGTACATTTCTATGATTTGGAGCCTAAGCTTGGAAGAAAGTAGATTTACCAGAATGTAATTTCTAGCCATTTCCTCTGAAATCACCTTCATTTGCTTGTTTACATGTTACATAGATTGTAGATGTCCTTAGGAGTGGTGCAGTGGCCTAGAGGTGGAGCTCTCGCCTCACAATCAGGAGGCCATGAGTTCAATCCTAGGTAGAGGCAGATATTTCTCTCTCTGGGCATGAGAATATATATGCTGAATAAAACTGCATTGGTGACAGGAAGGGCATCTGGCCATTAAACACTCTAGCTCCATTCAGTTGCCCAGACTCCACCCTGCAAGGGATTATGGGGTCATTAAAAGATGATGATAGATTGCAGATATTCCTCTGAAGTAGCCTCAGTATTGGAGGTCATTTTTAAGTTACTGTATTTTTGGGAGTTTAAGATGCACTGGAGTATAAGATGCACCAAGGTTTTGAAGAGGAAAATTTAAAAAAAAGTTTTTGCACTCTACAAACCTCTCAAAACGTCCCATTTTTCACGAAAACAGGCCCATTTTTTTGTTTAAAAAAAAGAGCATGAATAGCCTTTAGGAGGCTTATAAGGTGCTCCTGGGGGCTTGGGGGGGGCAAAATTGAGCAAAAAATGGCCTCATTTCTGCCATCCCCAGCCCCCAGGAACTCTCTGAAAGCCTCCTAAAAGCTATGCATGGCCATTTTGGTGAAGGGGGCAGGATTTCTGGAGGCAAAAAATACTGTATTCAGTGTATAAGACGCACCCAGATTTTCAGTCTCTTTTTTGAGGGAAAAAGGTGTTTCTTATACTCCAAAAAATATGGTACTTTTTAACTGCCCACCTGGGCAATCCTTCAGCCATGTGGACTTCATCACTCAAAATCTCAGCAACTGTTACATTGGGTTGTGAATTCTGAGTATTTCAAATTCTTCATCTGGACAATATTGAGGAAGTCTAATCTAAAAAAAACTTGTGCTCTTAGATCACACTTCTTTCAAAAAAAAAAGGATCAATTCAGCATGTGGAGTTTACCTTAGGTTGCCTATCAGGGAGAGCCTCAGTGGCGCAGTGGTTAGAGTGCAGTACTGTAGGTTACTTCTGCTGATTGCCGGCTGACTGCAATTTGGCAGTTCAAATCCCACCAGCCTCAAGGTTGACTCAGCTGTCCGTCCTTCCGAGGTGGGTAAGATGAGGACCCAAATTGTTCGGAGCTATAAGCTGACTCTGTAAAACCATTTAGAGAGGGCTGTAAAGCATTGTGAAGCAGTATATCACTTTAAGTGCTATAGGGAGAGGCATTCTCCATCCCATTTTGCTCTGCAAATGTATATTAAGAATTGGGATGGGGAAAACCACATTGCTTTAAAATCTAGGGTAGAATCCTTTCAATCTGAATGTGGAATAGCATGGCTTGAGTCTGAATTGAGCTTGATGTAATAGACTGTAACTAGACTAAATGAAGAAGGTGAAGGCAAAACATAATTTACATTGGGGTTCCTCTTTGCAATTCAGCTTATTGTTATTGCCAAAGGCCAAAACAAACAACGCAGAATATAATTAACACAAACAGCTGGAGCAAATGTTAAAAACGTCAGTTATTACATAATAATTAAAACCAAAAAAAAATTCCATTTGACCTAGAGTAAAATTTGCACACCATTTAATAGAAAAATAAAGATACGGAACAATAGAGTGAGAAAATCTGTTAATTAATAGTACCAGAAGTAGAAACTTTTAAAATTACTTCCACAGAGAAAAGCACAGTCAGCCTCAGTTTTACTCTTCAAATCAACATTTGGTTTATGAATGTTCTACTACCCAAGTACCTTAAAAAACATATTAGTCACCCCGCCAGTGGATTTGATTATAGGGCTCCTGTAAGTACTATAACTACTAATATTTCCATTTGCGCAACCATTCTGGAGAACATAATCATTTTAAAAAAATGATATTGGAATACTCTAGAGAGCAACCATACCGTTCAGTACATATAACTCCTGGAGTATAGCAATTTGCCCCAGAGGTGGCCTAATCACATCCATTTGGCAACTTCTCACATGATAAAGCCTCCATCTGAATGTAAAGAGAATCTCTGAGAAAACATCAGGAGTTGTGAAAACTAAGAGCTCTTACATTAACCTTAAGTAAGGAGAGGACAACATTTTGTTGTTCTATTTTAGAGAAAACTTGGGTCGCAATCCAAATGAGCAAGCCAGAGTTGCACGTGGACCTCTGAATTTGAGTGGCGGCTTCTTGATTGTTGAGCAACTCATGAAAAATGTTTTGATTAATTTTATTTACTATTTATACCAGTTTCCATAAGGAACGTGGTGGCTCAGTGGCTAAGACACTGAGCTTGTCAATCAGAAAGGTCAGCAGTTTGGCGGTTCGAATCCCTAGCGTCATGTAACAGAGTTAGCTATCATTACTTGTCCCAGCTTCTGCCAACCTAGCAGTTCGAAAGCATGTAAAAAT